ACGTCGCTATTAAAATTCTTATAAAATTTTTAAGAAATTTATTTATGAATATTGACCAAGAACATTTTAGTAAATTACCAATATCATTGCCTACAGCAAAACAACTATTAGGTCTAACAATAATAATAAAACATTATTCAGTTTGTCCTAGATGTCACAAGCTTTATTCGATAACAAAAGTTGAATTAATAATATTCCAAGTATTATGCTTTGCAACCATATAGAATTTCCAAATCACCGTCTTGCAAAATATCGAAAACCATGCAATTTTGAATTGTTAAAACAAGTGGGAGGGTCTACTAGCACACCTATTTTTTGTGCTAATTTGATTTTTTCACAGCCAAGCATATTGCAACAACTTTTAATTATGTATCAATGGCCAAAATTTGAAGCAAAGTTGCGTCATTGGACTAAACGAAATATTAAAGAAGGGATCCGAAGTGATATATATGATGGTGATGTGTAGAAAAACTTTAAAGATGATAAAATCAGAGGATATTTGTTTTTTATATCAAATACTGCTAATACAAATCTTGAGCTATGTTTAAATATAGATTGGTTTCAGCCCTTTATAGGTTCTCAATATAGTGTTGGCGCCATTTATGCTGCAATTCTTAATCTTCCACGAGAGGACCGATATAAACCAGAAAACATTCTATATCTTGGTCTTATGCCAGGACCAAAAGAAGCAAAAAAAAATTCAATTAATTATTTTTTAAATCCAATCATAACTGAACTTGAAAATATATGGAATGGATTAAAAATTCAACAGACCTTTGAATGAGTTAATAGAACTAATATTAGGGCTGCTTTAATTCTTTGTTCGTATAATCTTCCTACCAGATGTAAATTATGTGGTCATGTTAGTATTAGAATCAAATGTCATCGTTGCCAAAAGCGGGCTGATTCTGAAGGTTATTATAGTGGTTTTGATGATATTGATCAATAGTTCATTGATACTGATCCTGCAAAACATCATCTTCATGCATCTGAAAAGTTATCTTGTGAAAATGAAAGCCAAAGAAATGCACATGTAAAAAAATATGGTGTTAGGTGGTCAGAGATGCTTCGTTTAAGTTATTTTGATCCAATTCAATTTCTTGCAATTGATCCCATGCACTGTTTGTTTCTTGGGATTTCTCATTTTATTGTTAAAGATATTTGGATTGCTAAGGGCAAATTAACAAATAAACAACTTGAAATAATACAATTATGGGTTGATACAATAAAACCACCCTCTGATGTCAGTTGAATGCTAAGAAAGATTTATAATAGAAGTGATAGATTTTCCAATTTCACTGCAGATCAGTGGAAAACCTTCATATTCGTGTATGCAACAGCCACTATGTGGAATTTGCTTGATAGTAATGATAGACAAATTCTTACTTTACTTGTTAAAGCATGTAGTATTTTTATTTGCAGAATTATTAAAAATAAGGAAATTGATAAAGCTCATAAGTATCTTCTTGCTATGGTTAAAATAATTGAAACAGTTTATAGTAGTCAATCAATTACTCCAAATTATCATGCAAGTTTACATCTTGCTTAGTGTTGTAAAAATTATGGTTCATTTTATGCTTTTTGGACCTTTTCATTTGAACGATTAAATGGATTTTTGGGTAATTACTAAAGGGAACGCCTATTTTTACCATATTTTTACATAATTTTTAGCTAATATGACTATTGTAGAAATAGGCATTTCCTTAAATTAATATTACAATTATCACTAATGTAATATTTATTACAATACAGGCTCTTTTTCCAATAGTCGACATTAAATAGAGCCAGAAATAATGCATATTATAATGCAAAATCTTATTATAGAAGAGCACTTAAGTCAATTGCAAAATTTTTTCTAGTCATTTGCAGCTTTTGATCTAATTAAGCCTCAAAAAGTTTTGGGAAGTTTGCTTTATACTGAAGAAAAGGAACAAATTGATTTAGAAAGATTTATACAAATGTTAACAAATATAAAAATGGCAGCTAAAGGAACTGAACCATTTCCAGGAACACTACTTTCACTTATGAGAAAACAAGTTAGATTGCCTGAAAAAATTTTGCAACAACTAGCAGAATAGTATAGTAATATATATAGCAAAACTTATCAGACATCCCTTACACCCAGTTCAAAAGACAGTATAGTAATTACTCCATATATTAATCAATATGCTCTTTTACAAATTGGTACAGAAATTTTCGGGTCGGCAATATTATGGAAATATTTAAATAATGCAAATATCTATGCAAAGTACCTAGCCTCCAATAATTCTGTTTACATATATCTGGGTCATGTTAGCTTTTATTTTGAACATGAACTATCTATTAATGGTTGTTCAAAAGTTCACCATCTTGCATATATTAATTGGTTCAAACCAGTTCAGAAAGCACAAACAAGGTTTTGGCTATCTCCTAATCAACAAGAAAAATATTGCAATGTTGAACTTTGGAAAAAGTGCTTTTATAAAGATGGACAAGACTCAATTCTTCCAGTTCATAATATTCATAGTAGATGCATATTAGCAAAATTTGCTATTTTAAATCGTAAAAATGCTTTAACATATCTTGGGTAATTCCACTGAACTGTAGATTTTATTTGTGACAGAACTTGTTACTAACAATAAACCAAATCAATATATATAATGATGCTCTTGTATTAAATTTGATTTCAATCTATTTCAATGAACTTTCTGTGTCAAAGTAATATTAAATGCTGATTATTGTTATTATGAAGGATTATTGTTACAGGAGTATTGAAGTTTAATAGAATTTAATTATTTTAAAATAAAAAACGCCAATAAAATAAAGTTGTACATTAGTTTTCTTGCATATATAAAAATTCAAATATTATATAATGCTGAATAATTAAGCCAAATATTACAATCTTCATATACTGTTAAGAAATATAAGTAGTAGAAACTTTAATAATTATAAAAATAAATTGCGTATATAAAGTTTTATATTCTCCAGTTACAGTAATAATAAAACTAAATAAAAGTTTTAGAACTTAAATTGAGATTCAGATATATTTTTCAAGTTAGTTCAAATTTCGAAATATAATAAGATATCGAAAATAATAAATAAATTCGGCAGAGAATTATTTGGCTGAAATTTTGCAGAATTTTGTTCAAATAACTTTCATTTTTCTGATCACATTCAGTTTATTTTAATAATAGTTGAATGTTTGCTGAATTTTAAATGAATAGTAGTGTTATATTTAGATAATATTCAGCAAATATTCAGTAGATATCTGAATAGTGTATGATATTAAAAATAAGCTGAATGTGCTATGACCTAGCTGAATATGATCTGATTGATATAAAATTTAATTAGCATTAAGCATATCTGAATGTAGCAAAAATTTTTCATTTTAACTAGTATTTGTTACCATTGTATCACTTTCCTAAGCAAGTACTCCAACTGCTGAATATGTTGCTACTACCCTGGTTATCTATAATCAAGAGCTTATATATGTGATCTTCATATAACAGAACCTTCTGTAGAGTATATACACATTAGCACCATTTTTAGTATTAGTAATCATATTGATAACGATAACGATAGTAAATTATTATCGAATAGAGTAAATATAGTTTA